GTGGTTGGGGCATAAATTTGAATAATAATCATATTAACAGATCTTCCTTGTAGGCGTATGGATATTATCCTATCACTGACAGCATTGTACTTCAGTACAGATCTTGAAACATCCTTTGTGATGATGAATGCCATGCCATTCCTCTTCAAACTGTCATTCCTGGCATAGTAGATCACTTGGTTGTTTGATTCAAAATAGCCAAAGCCAGTCCATTTCAGCTCACTAATGCCGAGGATATCAATCTTTATGCGTTCCATTTCATTTTTGACAACTTCCAATTTTCCGAGATTCATACTTCGTACATTCCATGTTCCGATGATTAATGGATGTCTGCAGCTATTTCTCTTCAATTTGAGTGGTACTACATCAGCAAATGGAGGTCTTGAAAGCTTTACCTTATCCATATGAGTAAGGCTGGGTTTACTCAGATGATGTAGCTCTTTTCCAGTCCTATTTTGAGAGGCTTCTAACCTAACCGGACTATTCATAAAGTTACATGGTTATGTATCAAACAGTGTTTCTTTGCTATTCCTAAGGTTTTCCCTGGACAATTCTTTGAGAAGTGAACGGCCTCTTCCTTCTTCCTAGTCTGTCTCAGTCTGTAAGCAGGGCTGATACCTGTACACCATCTGCATCCCTCTGGGTTTGAAACACCAGTGGCTCAGCCTCAAAACTCACATCAACATGTCACCACGGTAGGACAAACCGACAGACAAGTTTGTCTCCCTGTTGGAAACCTCTCGTACCACCCTTACCTGGGTCCCTGCGTCCGACTGCTCCTCTGTCCTAGTTCCTGGGCCTTTTAATCCCCTTTCTCCCGCCCTGTTGCTTTGGGCATGCCTGGGTTCTCTCTCCTCACCTGGATCCCTGCGGCTGACATGTATAGTAATATACATGTTTCTTATTAATTCATTAAATTACAGGAGCTAGTAGCATAATTTGGAAGCACTGGTGAGTGTAATGATATGAAAACATCTGTGATTTCTATCAGCAACTATGAGTTGTTGCCTACATTCATAATAGAAAAGATGCTAAATTTTAATTAGTGAAAATAAAGATGGAGTTTTTTCCCATCTGAGATCAGGATCCTCTGAATTTTACCCACAGACCTCTTGGGAGGGCTCCAGGTTAAGAACCTTTGGCCTAGAATGTTCTCCCATCTACTCTAGCAGCTCATTCCTTCACCTCCTTTAATTCAGTCATCTTCTCATTGAGGTCTTCTCTGACCATTTTATTTAAAATTGCACCCCCACACTCCTTATCCCCCATTCATATTAATTTTTTTCTATAGTATGTAATCATCTTCAAACATAGTATATATTTTACTTGTTTTAAAGATTGTGTATCTCAGGGGGAATATACCCATGACCATAATAAGGTTGGCAGATGGTATTTCTACGTACGTATTTGTATGTATTGTAAGAATATCCACATAACTGCAACTAACAGGGGGCAACGATGGGCTCAGGTATAGGAAGGATAGTGAGGTTGGCACAAGACTGGGCAGTGTTTCGTTCTGCTGTGCATAGGGTCGCTTTGAGTCAGAGACGACTCGACAGCACCTAACAACAACAGGGGGCAAAGTTACAATAATTTCTTAGGCACAGTACCATCTTGATGGAGCATGTTGTTGGACGTATGGTCTCAGGGGACATCATGCTCAGTTGGTATACCATACTACACAAAAACATTGTTTTACACCCTACTTTGGTGAGTAGAGAATGAGGTCTTAAAAGTTTGCAAGTGGCCATCTAGATGCAACAATGGGTCTCTCCTCATCCAGAGCAAAGAAAAACGAAGAAAACCAAAGATGCGTGGAAATAATTAGTCCAAGGGACTAGTGGATCATGCAGTCCTCACCTATATGATCATAAGAGCAGAAGGACTAGATGGTATCCCTCAACCATTGTCAACCACTCAGAAAGGGATCAGTGCAGGAGATTCTGTATAGAGTGGGAGAACAATGTGGAACAAAACTCAAAATCATAAATAAATTACAAGTTTAACTAAAGCAACAAGGATAAAAAAGCAATTACAATTTTTAGTATTTTGAATAGGTAATATAATTTGTATGGCTCAAATTAAAAAAAAAAAAAGAAAATGGTATAAAATTGAAAACTCCCTCCCACTAGTAGCTGGCTACGACTCAGGTCTCATATGCCCTCTCCCTTGAAACCACTTTTATTTATTTATGCAGTTTCCTTACAAATAACAAACAAATCTAAACATACTAATAACAACATACTAATACTTTCCTATATCTTGCTATTTTCACTTAAAGATGTATCTTGGAATTTTTCCATTTCAGACATAAAGTTTCATCATTTAAGAATAATATTTTAATAAGAACTGTATTGTACATAGCAAAGGTTTAATATAATAGAACTTACCAATATCTGGTGGACAATGCCCATTATAAGGTAACCAGTTTCCCTTTACGGTGAAAGGACTTTTCCTGTTGCTTGTTGAACCAGTTCCTAGCTGCCCATTACCACCAAGCCCAAAAGAATAAATTCGTCCTGATGAAGGAACAAAAGCAGAAGTGTGCTGCCTAGAGTAAAATGATAGAAAAACTCAGACTTAATATTACTTTCTGAGCAATCTGTTTTAAGAAAGCATGTTGTGTTATGTTGTTGTTACCTGCTGTCGAGTCGGTCCTGACTCACAGCGACCTCTCCTTGGGTTTCCGAGGCAGTATCACTACGGAAGTAGAATTTCCCAACCTTCCTTCCAAGGAGTGGCATAGGATATATTAACTAATGAAAGTATTCTCTTAAATAAATTTTTCAATAAAACAATTTCAGTTAAGAAAATTTCCACAAATAACATTTTAAAAGGTCTAGATTCACACTGGAATTCCTTATAATCGATGAATCGCCACTAGCAATTCTATTTTCTATTCATCTAACTATTCTGAACAAGGAAGTGTCCTCCCATCTTCTCTATTTGTCAGGCTCTAGTGCTATGGCCTAGGAGCTCTGGTAGCGTAGTGCCTAAGGCATCTGACTGCTAACCAGAAGGCTGGCGATTCAAACCCACCAGTCACTCCTCGGAAGGAAGACTGGGCACTCTACTTCTGTAGTGATACTGTCTTGGAAACCCAAGGGGTCACTATGAGTCGGATCCGACTTGATGGCAGTGCGTTTGGTTTGGTTTAGTACTACTATGGCCTAAAAAACCCAGCATTTAGGTTCTGCTCACAAGTTTTAGGCTAAGAACTTGGCAAGTAATGCAGTACCAATCAGAAGATCCAGCATACACATCAATGCATGATACAATGCTTGCTTTCTTTTGGGGAAACTAATTCCTGTTTGTATGCACCCAGACTCTTCTTGAGATATCATGGTGGGAGCAAACCAAAGAAACTGCAGAACTAAAGTTGAAAGATCCACCAATCTTTTCTCAGAAACCAATAGTGTTTCACTACTGCATATTCAGGAATGGCTTAAGTATGATTACACAGCTCAGGTCTGTGTTCCTGAATCTCAAGTTTCATGTTGTCTAGCCTGGAAAATTATCAACTTTGTTTCTGTAAATACTGCCTCTCTCCTATTCATTCTATCTTCTTTCTATTCTATTCATTCTATTTCTATTCATTCTATCTTCTCCTTTTAGGACAGTACATCTACTCCTCACTTGTCGACTATCTCTATCTGACATTTCACATTTACAACTTTCAAAAAATTCTCAGGTGATGTGGTGAATTGCATGTGGCTCTTGCAGCCATGGTCTGTGTGACTCTCACCAGATGAGTAGGTGGAACTATGTAAATGTGAGGTGCCTGTGGTCCACCAAGAGGACTGGATAGCTTGTTAATAACGTAAATTAGGTACATGGTACGCTTGTGGGGGTGGGACAATGGAAATAAGGTATATGGAACCCTAACGCGGGGATTGATCAGTTTTGTCATCCTGCTAGGCTTAAAATGAGCCATCCCAGAGGTGGAAAGGAGGGATCTCAGTATCGTCAAGAAAGAGCAGCCAGGAGTGCAGTGTGTCCTTGAAGCCTAGATCTCTGAGCTGAGACAGCAAGAGATATGGCGGTAACAGAGGTGAGAGACTAGCATGAGACAGAGCAGCTGGTTTCCCAGCCTACAAAGTGAGAAAGCTGAGTGCCTTCTGAAGGCTTGTTGGTGGAATGGAGTGTCTCTCTGGACACCTACCTGGCAAAGCTAAAAAGAGCTTTATAATAATGGCCTAAGTAGGGTAGAGGCTGAGGCCAGAGAGAAGCATACAGTACAGCTGAGAAAAAGCTGTGCTGACAGAAAAGCTGTATCTAGACCTGTAATAAACCCCATAATCGTAAGAACTGTGTGTGAGTTGTGTGTGGCCACTGTAACGAATTATCTAGCAGAGTCTCATGAGAGGGACAATTGGTGTTAGAATTGGCCAAAAGGATGGAGGGCGGTGGCATGTCTGATTCCCAACTCATAGAAATCAGTTTTGGGTTGTTGATACTCATCTTATTCCTCCGCCCCCTTTTGAAGTTAGAGGAGGTCAGAAGATGACACCACCAAGTCCTTTTTGGATGGCACCTCCAGGAGTCCATGTCCCACACAGGGCCATGGCCAGGGCTGGAGCAGCCTCCATGGAATATCCTGAACAATACACCAGAGACCCTAGTGACAACCAAGCCACATGAGGTATGGTAGCCAGCTGTAGGAAGCCTTCTGTTAATCTACAACATCTCAGTTCAGCCACAAAGGGCACAGGGCAATGGTGGAATGATGTGAGGTCACAGGCGGGCAGGGGAGGGTCACTGGGGGAGGCAGGAAAGGGATAATGTGAGGTCAGGGCAGGAGATGAGTGGGGCTCCAGCCCAGGGTGGAAAGCAGGAGGTGGCGAGCAGAGGATGAACAGAGTACCTACTCAGGGTGGATGGCAGGCAACGCTCCAGCACCATTCCCAACACCTGCAGTCATGAAGCAAAGCATGGTAGGGAAGGGAAGCCCACTATGCCAAGTGTACCCCAAGACATGGTGAGTCGCCTGATGGGCACCAGGGTGGAAGGACACCAGGTCTGGAAAATGGGGGGCATGGCCCCAACTACCAGCTCTCACATAATGTCAATTTCACTTGACAACCTGGCCTTTGGAGTCCAACTATGTTGATAGGTGAGGAGTGGGTATATTAGACAAATGTTGTACCTTCCTAATATATTCTCTCAATTTCTTAACCTTTCATATTTTCTATTCCTTTTCTCTCCATGCCTCTTGTAATTCCCCTGAATCTAGCTTTCAATTCACTACTTTTCTTGTTAGCGGTGTGTCAACCAGCTGCTTTACTTATTCACTAAATTTTTAATTTCAATGGCTGCTTTCTCCCCCACATTTATAGAAGTTTTTTTCACCAAAATCTGCCAGTCTTTCACTTCATTTAAAACTCTTATATTCTGAAATATAAACACCAAGCCAGGCCTATTTTGTATTAATTTCTTGGACTGAAAGATTTTCAGATCACAGGTAGTTAAAATCAAGCGCCACAGACCCACCTTAGGGCACTCCTGTGATTATAAATTCTCAATGCATATCCAACTCTGAAACCAGGCCTAGAAATAATATGCTAATATGGAATATTTCACCTGTTTATCCTTTTCTGAGGTGGTTTTATTGGAAGGAGACGGTTTCTCAGGTCTCATTTCTGCTTCTATCAATTTTTACAGGATTCGTTTCCTGTTCTGAACTCCTATACCATCTGTTCATAAAAACAGCCAAATTATTCTTCTCCCTATATTCATACCCTTTATAGTACAACTATTGCAGTTGTTCCTATCAAGATGGGGAATCTATTTCTCCATGGGTCCGATCTGAGCTCTGACCGAGTGGTTTGCTTTGAGAAGCTGAATGCAGCAGAAGTAAAACTGAGGCTATTCCTCATAAGAGGCTTTACACCCTTTCCATTCTCTTTAGTAACCCTGCCCTACCACCAGGAGAACCCAGGGCTAGAAGCTGGAGGACGGAGATGAGCTGTCCCAGCTTGACTGCTCAACCTTAGGCAGACCATCAGATCATCAAACACGAATCAGGAAGCCCAGACAAAACAAGAATTGCCCAGATGACTCCAGCCCAAACGAATGAACCATAAAATTGTTAGCTAAAAAACTGCCTTAAGCCAGTAAGTTTTGAAGTGGTTTGTTTTAAGAGAATTAGCTAATTAATGTATTACCTAGATCGGCAAATTCTATCAGGACAGTTCCGAAGTCAGTTCAAACCAACAGCTACAGTTTTCAGCTATCTTTGTTTTTGCCATGGGGATTTGCCCTTACTTCCTGGCAAAGTCATCCAAGCTGTTTAAATAGTGCTTTGATTCTGAAGGATTTCAGCTATCTAGTCTTCCATGTTATTGGGAAACTATGCAAAATCTACCTATGAGGCAGATGAGCCAATGTCGGTCAAACTTTTTTAAAGCAAAGATACTCTTTTAACAAGCAAATGTTAAATGGAATCCTAGTATATTAAAGAGATGGAAACTGCTCTGGTTGAAGAAAGAACACTGTCTGTTCTTCTTCCCTCAGGAAGCAGCCACTGTGAAATCTCAAAGGCATGTATTAATAGTTTGGAGATTACTGTAATACCAGTTTATTAAGCTCCTTCTCAAACTGGGTCTACTAAAGCAGTGGTTGTTGCTTCTTCATGGTAAGCAGATAAAAGACTGAAGTTGTCAAGGATTTCATTTTACTTGGATTCACAATCAATGCCTATGGAAGCAGCAGTCCAGAAATCAAATGAACTATTTCACTAGGCAAATATGCTGCAAAAGACTTCTTTAAAGTGTTAAAAACAAACAAACAAAAAAACAAAGATGTCACTTTGAAGATTAAGGTGTGTCTGACTCAAGCCATGGTATTTTTAATACCCTCATATGCATGTGAAATCTGGACAATGATATATAAGGAAGACCACAGAAGAACTGATGTATTTGAATTATGATGTTGGTGATGAATACTGAATATACTGTGGACTACTAAAAGAATGAACAAATCTGTCTTAGAGGAAATACAGCTGGAATGCTCCTTAGAAGCAAGAATGGTGAGACTTCGTCTCTTGTTTAGGTCATGTTGTCAGAAGGGCCAAGTCCTTGGAGAAAAATACCATGCTTGGTAAAGTGGAGGGTCAGTGAAAAAGGGGAAGATCCTCAACAAGATGAGCACAGTGGTGTAACAACTGGCTCAAGCCTAACAATTATTGTGAAAATGACACAGAACTGGGTAGTGTTTTATTCTGTTGTACACAAGGTCACTCTGAGTTAAAACCAACTTGACAGCACCTAAAAACAGAAGCAGTTGTTATCGATTAACTGTTGTTGCATAATGGAATCACCTAGGAGTGAGTCTATGCAACAATATACATTTTTGAAAAAGTCAGTAAGTGATTATAGGGAAAAGTCCTAGATTTAATATATAGCTCAAAGACACTATGCTATTATACTACTAGAATTTGAACCTTTTGTTTTGGATCTTCTCATTGGAGGATTTGCACTTCTGATGCTCTTCAACTACTGCCTTTGGGAGATTTTTGAAAATTATTCAATAAGGAAATAAACAGTTGTTAAG